TCTCAGCGCCTGTTTGGAGGGAATAGTTGTTCCATCCCCATGGCAACGGGGCTGAGTGTATCATAAACATTGTTAAAGGAGAGCTTTTCCAGCTTAAATGAGACTTCCCTTTCATAATCAAGCTGGGATGGACGTGAACCATTTAACCTGTTGTTTGGGACCTTGCTCTGAACTGAGGATGCTTCTGCTTCACTCATGCCCACTGAAGCCAATTTAATCTGCTGTTGGTAAACATCCCCCTCAGCCCATCTTCAGGAGGAAGCAAGTGTAATCTGCTTAGGAGCTTCCAGGGAAATCAGTGTTTTTATGGCTTAGTCAGGAACAATCCCATCAGTGCCACAAACCAGGCAGGGGCTGATCAAAGGTGCTTTGGGTTTGAAGTTTCCCATTCTCTCTCTTTGTCCTAAACCTTCCCATGCTCTCTGTGCTCTCATATCCTGAAAAAGGAGAGCTAGGAAAGGGAGACTGTTCATCAGACTGTGGAAAAGCAGGGAAATGAGGTTTATCCATAAAATTATCAATGCTGGCATGTCAGTCGTCCCCAGCCAGGGGTGGAGGGTCAGTGATTGGAGCAGCTGGAGAAAGTACTTTGAAATCCCCTTTTTCACTGTTTTCCATCAGTGTCAGTCATGATGATCAAAATCTTGTTTGGTAACAAAGGGGCATCATTGTCTCTGTATGGAGATTAAAAAAAAAATCCCCAAAAAGCTGTTTGGCTCATCCACTGCCAACCTGAGCCTGCAGCCATAAATCCAGTGGGAATCCCCATGCCACTGCTGTCCTTCATGGCTTGTTTTCTGATCCTGGTTTGCTAATTCAGGAAGCAAGTGAGAAATATGCAGGAAGCAAGCAGAAAAATAACTGAGGAAAAACTAGAAAATACTAAGAAAAACAAATACTTATTTCTCAGGAGTTAAAAAGCTGAAACAGTTTGTTCCTGAGTCCCGAAATAGTTGTTAACACCTAAATTTCATCTGAAGCAACTTAACATTTTTGAGCCAGGAACCCAAAATTTATTGCAACATTTGTTTTGAGTTTTTTTTTTTAAAAAAAAAGAGGCTTGGAGTGGGATTAGGCAGTGAAAACTCTGGATCAGCTCTTATCATAAGGACATCCTCCAGCATTTCCTTCCAGGGAACTTCCTGCCTCGATAACCACGACTTCTCCTTCAGAACAGGCTGATTTTCCTGACTCCTTTGGAAACAACAGGGGAAAACAAGGATTTATTGGGTCTAGGGTGGTTTTTTTGTCCCTTATTCTTACCTGGTTTTACTAAGTTATTAGAGAAGGTACAATTTGATTGCTACTTGGAAAGCTGCCAGGGTTTGGAATTTTTTGGAGGGTGGTGTTGCAGGTGTGGAATTCTGCATCTCTGCTTTAGTTCCTTGTGAATAATAACTTTGTTTTACACATATGACAGTTTTTAACCTGGTATTTCACCTGTCTGTGTGTTCTGGAAAAGGACTCAATACTCTTCCATGCTTCCCACCACATCAGGGTATGTAAAAGCTGGTTTTTGGACAACAGGGTTTTTTGTTTTTTTCCTCTTTCTAAAATTAATTAAAATTGATAAAATCCTAAAAGTAGCAGTTCAGGTGAGCCACAGTCTCAGGAGCTTGAAAAGGTTTTGTGAAAGGTTTATTAGTAAAGGGATATTTCCAGTGCTGTGCTAACGAAATGGTTGCCTGGTTGTATTTTGATAAGCACTTAATTAGATACTTTATCAGCTGTGTCCCACCTCCCTGCCCCTTTACTGAAATAAAAGGGGTAGGGCAGCCACTTATTTATGAATTTTATTTAGTTGCCTGGACAAAGACATTGAAAAAACCTGATCAGACTTTTGAGGTTTGGAACCCGGCCTTGGGCCTGTGACCTCCAAAAGTCTCCTCCAGCCAACCCCGTTGTTTGTTTTCCTGGAACAGCTCTCAGGGCCTTGTGTCCACAGGAATATTGCACAACGGGGCAGGAGTTATTGTCTCCAAATTCCTTCTGTTCACACACCATGGCCATCTCAGGCTGCCTGAGAAACCCTGGGAATGGCTCTGCGGGGTGAAGCGTGACCGGTTCCGTGTTGGACTCGCAGTACAAGCCCGGATTTCCTGGAATTTCCTGGAGCTGAAGCCTCGATTTGCTCGCCTGAACGTCTCACCTGTGCCACTGTGAGGTCCCCCAGACCTGTTGCTGCCTTCATTTCGTTATTTTTGAGCTGAGCAGAGGTTCCTGTGTCTCCCTGAGTGTGACAGCTGCGACCCAGCCGGTTCAATCGCGGCGGTGGTTTTGTCCTCGCTGAGTGACTGTGTGACATCCTCCCTTTCCTTTTGCTCCATCTCTGTTCCTGTGTGGGTTTTACTCAGCCCATCTGCAGAACTCATCAGGCTGCAGATGCTGGTGAGAGAGGCTGTTGGAACGAGTGGAGGTGAACGATTACTGGGGATTACTCGGTGTCCAGTCAAAGCACAGGAAATCTGCCACAAGACCTTGAACACGGTTAGGCCAGGCCTAATTCCCCCCTCCAGTCCTGCCTCTGCTCCCTCCTCAGGGCCTGGCAAGGGGTGCCTGTCCTTTTTGAGCACAGAGGGAGTCTGTTTGGCCTCGGTAAGTGTAGCTGCTGGCTGAGATTAGGGTGAGATTGCCACGTGCCCGCTGTGCCACCCCTGGCTGCTCACCCTCCTTCCCAGGAGGTGCAGAGCCCGGGGCTCTGTAATCACACACACGGGGCTGGTTGTGGCTGTGGCACAGATGCAGGAGGAGAAGTCGCCGGAAAAAGATCCATATCTCATGTCCTGGCCCTGCTGTAAACTCTGAGGCTTTGTAAAGTCAAGGCCCTGGAAGCTGCAGCAGCAGCAGCAGGAGAAGGCTCAGGTTTGCAGCCAAACTCTGTCAGCTCCTCAGTGAACTTCAAGGGTCATCCGTAGGCGTCAGAGAAGATCTCAAGACAATAATAGTGCTCTATTTTAGCATGCTCATTACAAAGTATAACTGCCCTCTGCCTCTGGCAACTATTTTTGCCTCTGCTCAGATGGTGCAGGAGTGGCAAGGCCGTTGTCACAAGCAGCAGTGCTGCCTCTCTGCCTCCTTCCCTCGTTGGCTTTTCAGTTTAGACCTTTTTCCTTTCTCCATGAAAATAACCTTCAGCAGAAAGATGGCTCGCAGGGGTGTGTTTTGTAATTATTGGTGCATTCATCCGGAAGAAAAAGCAATCAGATTTGTGCTGACAGGGAGCTGCAGGAGGAGGTTGGGGCCTTTTCATGGCATTTGAAAGAAGTTGAAATGCTGTTTGCATCGTTAATGCAGGGTAGGAGTGGGACAGTGGGTTCCTGTCCTCATCCTGATTTCTTTCTAACTAGTGGGTCTTTAAAATCTCTGCAGAGTGTGGGCTTTTTGAATAAAAAGGACAAGAGGATCTTCTGAATTGTGTCAGTGCAGGAGGGGTTTGAGTACGTGGCCATGGCGTGGATCCTCCTCTGCAGGGCACCTGAAGATGTTCTGGGCAGCACAAGGAGCTTGAGCCCCTTCTCATCCCTGTTGTTGCAAGGTGAAGGCTCAGGAAAAGCAGCAGCTGCTTCCTCCTGCCCCAGGTGCTGGAGGAGGAGGAACCTTTTCAACGTGTTCCTTGGTTCTCAAACAAAGAGAAGTGCTCAGCTCGCCTCTGCTGGTTTTCATTTTACATCTTGGGTGATTTTTTTTCTTTTTCTTTTTTTTTTTTTTTTTTAATACTCTGCTTTTTCCCGAAGAAACAGGAGTTCTTTGATGTGTTCTTGTGCTGTATCAAAGCAGCTTTTGTGCTGGAGTTAAGTGAGACGTCTTGGTTCACAATACAACACATTATACTTTCCTAGTTCACAGCTGCTTCTGGAGTCTGAAGATCCACCTGTGACCCCATTGCTTTGACCACTGTGGAGGGCTGTTTTCTGGCCTTCCCTTTGTGTGTAAAATCTTCAGAAAAACTCTGTGTTCCCTGCTCCATTGAGGTATCCATGAGGTTCCACTGAGGGATCTCCATCATTTCCTCTAGATATACACAGTAAATATTGAGTAAAGAGGAATATGTGCAATATAGCCCATCCATGAACAATTCCTGCTCCTGTTCTATAACACCAGGGTCTCAGTAAGACTTTTCCACCCTGTTAACGTGTCTAACACAAGACTTTTTAAAGCTGAGGGTACTCAAGGTGTCCTCCAAACGATGGACAAGATTGTGACACCCCTAAAGCTGTAAATGCCAGAAACATCAGCAGGGGCTTGATCAATGTAACACTCCAGTACAGTCTGTAACTCTGCCCCTGGGAGAGGGATCCTTCCAGCTGGAAAACCGAGGGATTTGGGCAGTATGAACTCATAATTTGGTAAATGCTCCTCAGAACGACAGAGCTCAGTGCAGGGAAAGGTGTATTTTTTTTAGTATCTTGCACTTCCCAGAATTTTGGCCGCTCCATGTGTGCTCTGTTACTGAACTTTGTGTTGTCAAGAGTGCTGCTCTGTCAGCTTTGTGTGTCTCCAGCTGGATTCCAAACCAGCTGTGATTCCAAAGGTTTGGATTGTTGGCTGTGACAGAGGCTGATGAGCTTCGAGCTACAGCGAGGTGGTACTTCCTAAAGGGAAGCAGCCTAATGAAATAACAGCAGTTAAATTCTGGGATGCAACCTGCATGGATTTTTTTAGGAGGAGGGGTAAAAAATAAAAAAAGCCTTTGCCACTCTGAAATTCTGTTGCTAATCTGATTTCCACGTGGCTGCCTCCCCTTGCATCACTCAGCCCGTTTGGTGCAGTGCTGATCCGGGTTCCCAAAGTGCTGGGGATAAATGCAGCGTGGGAATAATCACTCAACTTCATCTTCCTGCTCTCTCTTAGCACGTCTCCCTGGCACTGACAGCTCTGCAGATCCTCCTGTCTGCACGACACATGCGTGTGCCTCATCCCCGGGGCTGAGGAGCCGCAGCGGGCGCAGCCTCAGCCTGGGAGACACGGAATGCTGCTGGCAAAGGTGGATTCCAGGCGGTTCTAAGGCAGAGCTGATCCCCTGTGGATCAGCTGGCACGCCATGGGAAGAGTCTGGAAGCACAGCCTTGAGTTTCTTCGAGTGCCGAGCAATTAATTTGGGCAAGCAGGGAGTTGTGCGCGCGCGGTAATTAACGGGGAAAGCACCCTAGGCCAGCGTAACAGCGTGGTGTGGGTGTCCCTCAGGTTGAGATTGTTCCAGGTAATTGCAGCAATTTAACTGGCTCCATCGATGGCATGGCCCTGGGGAGTCACCCAGCCTGCCATGGGGCAGGGATTCTGCAAAACAGGTTCAGTGTCGTGGGCTGGGCCCAAAAAGGCACCTGCCCCGGGGCACCTGATTTTGGTAGGAACGTGGAGCTCTGTGTAAACTGTCAGTAATCCTTTCTCAGGGCTCACTGAACGCTCAGGCTCACATGGAGGCTGTTCCCTTCCTTATATAGGGCTGGAGAAGTGCTGGGCAGTAATGAGATTGGAATAAAAGGCTTTGGGAGCAAAGATGAGCTGGCAGTCCTGGCTGGATCTTAAACTGAGCCCTGTGTACACATGGACTTCAAACAAGTCCTTGGACTTGATGCCTCTGCTTTGGTTGGGAACAGCACTTGGGCTCTCAGGCTGTGGATTCACCCAGATAGAAACCCCTGGACTCTTAGGTTTCTTCTCTGAGGGGAAAAAAATGTAGCAATTTTACGTATAAAACCATTTTTTGTGTCTTTTGTCATGGTGGTTCTTATTCCGGAGCACCTGGGTTTGTTTTTATTTCATAGGAAGAAGTTTAAACTGCATTAATTGTCACAGTTCTGGACTAAGAGAATCCATACGAGATGCTGAATTAATATTTCCTCTGGTGTGTCTTATACTTCCCTTGTGCAGGCAGAATTATTAGTGTCTTGCTTAAAAATGTTTGTGGAAATACTGTTTTGTGTAGTCAGATATGGTCAAGGAAAAATGACATCTCTCTGCCTTGTCTGTCCTTGATGAATTTAGACATGGAGAGGAAAACCACTCTGGGAGTTCAGGAATCAGCTGGCAGATGTTAGTCCTAGAAAGTCTCAGCCTAAATCATTGCTGTAGGTAAGACATGGCAGGAATTTAGACAAGCAAAGGCAGTGCTTGAAATAATTTTTATTTACTTTCATGTTTACGCTCTTAGGAGAAAAAAAAAAGGGGGGATGATACTTGGAAAGGAAAGATTTGAAAGAGAGGGGAGTAGGGCTGATGACAAAGAGGCAGAAGTGTGAACTGAAGGAAAATGGAGTTGTTTTGCTCTGGCATCTTCCTGGAGCTTTGCAGTTACTTGATCTGCTGTTTTTGAGGTTGGAGGTGGGAGCAGGTATGGGAAGGAGGTGGCGAGTGGGAGGTTTGATTTTTTTTTTTTTAATTTTTTTTTTTTTTTTTACCTGAGTGTACCTGAGCTGTTTCTCATAAAGCAGTACAAGCCAGAGTGGGTGAACATGGAACAACTTAGAAACATTTTTTTGGGGTAGTGACTCACTGCAACTTACCCAAAGTGACCTGATTTAGTTAAATGAGGCTAAATATAACCCATGTGAAAAGTACTGACATGTGGGAGGAGACGACAGAGTTGGCACTCAGCCTCTCTGTTCTGCAGGGAACATCTTTCACGACTGGTGACTAATAATTTTTACTCTTGCTGGCTTTGGAAATAACATCTCAGCTCCATCACCCCCTTGTAGGGAGAGGAGGGAAATGCTCTGGTAACCTGCCTCTGCTCTGCCTCTCTGCCTTGCAGCTCACTGCTATGGACAGTGCTATCACCCTGTGGCAGTTCCTCCTCCAGCTCCTCCAAGAGCCTCAGAACAAGAACATCATCTGTTGGACCTCCAACGACGGGGAGTTCAAGCTGCTGCAGGCAGAGGAGGTGGCCAGGCTGTGGGGGATCCGCAAGAACAAGCCCAGCATGAACTATGATAAACTCAGCCGAGCGCTCAGATACTACTACGTGAAGGTAACAAATCCCCCTCCAATCCTCAGCCATCTTTACCAGCCTAATGGGCTTTGTTTCCTTTTCCATCCCCTGCAAGGGGAGGGGTGGCTGTCACTCCTCTTCCTCCCAGGCTTAAGGAAGTTGTACTGGTTTGTTTAAAAGCGGTTTTGTTTCTTTTTTAATTTTTTTTTTAATCTCTTGCATCGTTGTGCTGCGTTTCCTCCCCGCTGCTTATTTGACAAGGTTCTAAGTGCAGAGTTTTCTCTTTGTGTCTTTGCTAATGTAAATTGTTGAATCCTAATCCCCTTTCCAAAAATACATCCCCTGGCAAGGGTTAAAATCCTCAGCACTCCAGGTAAAACAACACTGGGAGATGATGACTGAGGCGGTGAGTGTTGCACCACCTTAAGATCTCTCCTGCAGTTGCCTCTACAAAAGGGCTTCAAAATAAGGATTTTCAGTGAATCAGCCCGAAGTATTTTTATTGTTCTCTGTGTGTTTAGAATTTCACCTCTGACATGGTCAGTGATTTCAGCCCAGCTGAGTAAGAAGCTTCTCTTGTTTAGCAAAATGTCTTCAAGACCTACCTTGGTTTCAATAAGCCGTTTATCCCACAACTGTTACCGGGCCAGTGTGGGAGATAAAAATAAAACAGTTTCTGAGGAACCTCAGTGGGTAGCAGGTGGTAAGTTACTGGTGTTTATTGTTGGGTGGCACAAATCTGGCTTTGTGCTGAAGAGATCTCAGTAATAATAATTGCATGATAAATGAGGATGATCTTAAGCCCGAATTGCGTGTGGCATTTCACTTAAGGAGCAAAACAAGTTTGACAGATGCTGTTTTGTGGTATTGAAATAGCTGATTATCCTGCATTCCACTGACTAGTTCAGCTACTTATTTTCCTTTATTAGCATCTTATTAAGGATAAAAGGGGTTTGATTGGAAGTACCAGCTCTCAGTTCTGCAAAGCTGTAGAAACCCTTTAATACTGCAGGTTCTCCTGTTAGATTACCCTGACTGTACCCAGAGCAGTGATCCTTGAGGGGGTTAATGGGTAATTTTTTATTTTTATTTAAAAGCAGGTTTTAGGCTGGTTTTGGTGTATTTAATGTCAGGTTGAGCTCACCTGTTCTAGTGTTTTGTCTGTGAGCTCTGGGAACGCTGCTTTGGGAGCGGGACTGAACTGCAGGAACGCAGTGTGTTTTTAAGGCAGGAAAAAAAGAAACATTTTTTTGATGAAAGATTACAGGCTTTAATTCCTCTGCCTATTTTGGGCAGTGTTTGTAGGAAGAAAATTAATCTGAAGAAGGTCTAAATATATATGTGTATCTTACCCACAGAATATCATTAAGAAAGTGAACGGGAAGAAGTTTGTGTACAAGTTTGTCTCGTATCCGGAGATTTTAAACATGGACCCGCTCGTCGTGGGCCGGATAGAAGGAGACCCTGAACTGACTGGCTTTGGAGAGGTCAACAGCGCTCCAAAGGACGTGGAAAACTGTGGGAAGGAGAAGTCCCAGTCGTGTGCGAAGTCCTCGAGCCGCAACGACTACATCCACTCAGGCCTGTACTCCTCCTTCACCCTCAACTCCCTCAACAGCTCCAGCGTCAAACTCTTCAGGTCCATCAAGATCGAGAACCCGGCGGAGAAGCTGACGGAGAAGAAGCCTCAGGAGCCGACCCCCTCCGTCATCAAGTTTGTCACCATGCCCTCCAAAAAGCCGCCCTCGGCCCCCCTGGTCTCCACCGCTCAGCGCTCCGCACGCTCCCGCCGCGTCCTCCTCCCTTCCCCTGGGATCTGAGGAGACCCTCCAGACCCTGGAGACGCTCGTCCTGCCCAAGTTGACTGTCCCCGAAGCTCCAGCACCTTTGCCAAACTTAACCAGCAGCTTCACCCCGACCCCCCCCATCTCCTCGGTGTCTCCCACTCTCCAGGTCCCTTCCACGCCCCCGTCGCCGCCCCTGAGCTCCAACCCCGACCTGGACATTGACACGGACATCGAGTCCGTGGCCTCCCAGCAGCTGGAGCAGGCCCAGAGCCTTCAGCACCAATCCCCAGAGCCCAAAGAGCAGGATTCATCCGTGCTGGAGAAGGAATTTGCCAATCACCTCTCCAGATCTAAGAAACCCAAAGGGCTGGAGTTGGCTCCCACTCTCGTCATCACGGGCAGCGATCCAAGTCCTCTGGGCATTCTGAGTCCTTCTCTCCCCACTGCTTCTCTTACTCCAGCACTTTTCTCTCAGGTAACCAAACTCCCTTCCTGGTTTCTTTTTTTAAAGTAACAATGGTGATTATGTTGCATTTTAAACCAGTAAGGGAAGGCAAGTGGAAAATGAATAGTCGGTTCATTGTGTGGGGTGTTCTGAAACTCAGGATGTCCCTCCCCCCCTTTTTTTTTTTTCTTTAATTAAAACCTAAGTTTTATTCACAGTTGGTATTAACTTCACCCCAAAAAGGTGCCCAAGTGGTGTGTCAGCCCTGCACGTCTGGGCAGGGTTGGCATGTGGAGGCAAAACCCAAACCAGCACCAGCAGGATCCTTTGTAAACCTTGCCAGGGAGGGACTGAATTATTTCAGAAACCCTAAACCCTGCCCTCATCCTTCAGCTGGTTCTGAAAATACTTTAAAAATAGAGAAGCACAGAGGTGTCTGTTTGGCAGCTTTTTTTACTCAAATATAGGCATTTAGTTAAGGCCAGAGTCTTGTGAGTGAACATGAACAGCAATAAGAGCAGCTGCTTAATTTGGTTGCTGTCTTTGTGTGGGAAAGGAAAGCTTTTGTGTCTCGTGGAAAACTTGGAAGAGAACTGAATCCAGCTAGGCTGTTAAATCATTCCGTATCTATTTAATCTCTTTTCCTGGGATAAATTGGAATTAGAGTGAAGCTGTAGGGAAGCTGCTGATTGAAAAGCGAAATGGCTGAAGGCAGGGAAAAAAAACCAAGTGGAGTTGCTCTTTTGGCACCCTGGGAAGTGTTTGGCTGGTGAACCTGGGGCATCCTGGGTATTCAGAAGCTGGGTGGAAACTTGTTTTATTGTTCTTTATATTGTCAGTGTCACCCAGACCAGGCTCATGCCTGCTGTCTGCTCCTTTGGAGTTCCTAATCCCGCTTTTCCCAAGTCCTTGCAGGTGCTGTGTGCTGGATTGCTCTGCTGGAGGTTCCAGCAGGATTTGGCAGCTGTTGGGAAAAGAGGGTTGATTGCTCAGCCAGGGGAGGGAGAGCTGGATGGGGCTGGGAAGGGAGGAGGAGCAGGGACTGGGAGTTCCTGAAACTGGGAGCCAGCCCTGGCAGCTGCAGGAGCTGAGGTGGTTGTGGCTGGGCTTCCACGTGCTCTTGCTCCAGGGGCAGGTCTCACTCAGCTCTCCTGTCTCTTCCAGACTCCCATCCTGTTGACTCCCAGCCCTTTGCTCTCCAGCATCCACTTCTGGAGTACCCTGAGCCCGGTGGCTCCTCTCAGTCCTGCCAGGTTGCAAGGTGCTAACACCCTCTTTCAGGTGAGTTCAGCCAATCTCTCCCTGCTTTTCAGTCCCTTCCTCAGCAGACCTGCAGGAATCAGTTACCCAAATACCGCTTAGAAAATAAAAATTACTTCTGCTTAGAAATAAATACCGCATTAGATGCTCCCCATCTCCTGACATGTGTCCAAGGCCTAGTTGGACAAGGGCTTGGAGCAAACCTTGACAGTGGAAGGTGTCCCTGCCCATGGCAGGGGGTGGGACTGGATGGGCTTTAAGGTCCCTTCCATCCCAAACCATTCCATGATTCTGTGATCTCTCCATTCTGCTGTCTTTTGTTACTTGGAAATTCTCACCTTCGCTGCTTTTAAGAAATAATTTTGTTCAATATATAAGAAAAAAAATCCCCTATATTTAAAAAAAACCCCTCCTTTAGTTGCAATTCCTCGTGCTCTTCCCTCACCTTCCACTTTGGCATTGGAATAACCACATCTGCTGCCTGGGTTTGCTCAGGCAAAGGGTGGGATTGAACTGGTTGCTTTTTGGGTTGGGATCTCTCATCTCCATGGAGATGAAGGAAGCAGCTCATACATGCCACAAGGATGGGGAATAAACAATGCACTGGCCATTTTCCTCTAGAAATAGCTGATAATTAACTGAGGGACTATTTAGACCTGTGGTTTCCCAACAACCTGTATTAAAGTCACTTATTAATTGAGGACATGGGCAGTGCTCAGGGCAGGGATTGCTGTGCCACTGCTTGCAGTGGCATTAAAAAAATTAAATTAAAAGTGGAAATCCATGAGAATTCTTTGAAGTTTGGGGTGTTTTTTCTTTGTTGTGTTTTGTTGTTTGGGGTTTTTTTTTCTACATGCACAGATAGGGGAGAAACAGTGAATTAAAGTGACCTCTTGCCTAATCATGTTTGTTTTGTCTCTTAGTTTCCATCAGTGCTGAACAGTCATGGCCCATTTACTCTGTCTGGACTGGATGGACCCTCTACCCCTGGCCCGTTTTCCCCTGATCTCCAGAAGACATAGCACATGGAACTCATGGAAAGGACACGTTGGCAAGCAAGGGAAAGATGGGACACTTCTATTTAACCACGTTTTTTTAAAAATGAGCAATTTATAATTCCACACAGAGATTCTCAACGATCGTAGTTTTCGCCATTCCCAAGTAAAAATGCCTTTTTTTTTGCAAAATTCCCTTTTTTTCTGAAGAACCCAGGTTGGGAATGTATATGCAAAGGCCTTAATAGGAGCTGCAGCTCCAGTTTTCTTCTCTTCCCTCCTTGGTTTGGAAGATTTCACGTGGTCAAAAAGGGACTTTTGGTCGGTGTTGCAGCAACTGAGTCTGCACTGATTGCAGTGAACAGTGTCAGGGAAGTCTTTTCTCTGTGACTTTTGGGGAAAACAAAAAAAAACAAACCCTCTGTTCTTCTGCTTCCTGTGCTTGGCAAGAAGATATCTGATCAGGATGGAAGCTGGCATTCCAGGAAATGCTTGGGAAAGGGGTGTGTGCACTCCAGCTTTGCCTGGGCGGGCCACAGTGACTTCTGCAGCAACAAAAACAGCCTGGTCTGTTCTGCTGTAAAATCATCTTGTCTTTTTTGCAGGGAGAAATTTTCAAGGACTATTATTCAGTGCTTCATATCCTGAGACATTGGACAATTCGGGAATTGTGGTGGTGTGTGTCCCAGCAGCCCAACCCCTCGGAGAAGTGGTCTGGCTGGATCCTGGATGCTTCCCTGCCCTCCCTTTGCTGGGGAGGTGAGGTCTGGAGAGATAGAGAGAAATCAGTGGTGGGATGAGTTCCTTTCAACCCTCAGAGAGTTTGAATGCTGAAGTCCAAACATTTCTTGTGCCAGAGACCTCTTCCAGAGCTTGTGATCTCACTGCTGGATGAGCAGGATGGTGGATTTTCCTTGGAAGTTTTGGGGGGGTGGGTGCCTGTGCTGAGGTTGCTGCCTGGTGCTGGAGTTCCACACCCAAACAGTGGTGAGAGCACAGATGTCCCAGCATTAACTGCTCTTTCCCACAGGTTTGGAAAAGTTTCCTGCTTTTCCACAAGTGGAGGAGCTCCTCTTCTACCAGCTCTTAGCTCGACTTTTGCATTAGAGCTGTTGTTTGTTTTTTTTTTTGAGGAAGCACTGACCCAAACTCAGGCTCAGTGTGTCCACCTGGCTGTAAATCTGCTCTTGCATTGCTTTTCTTGGTGGTGTGGATGGATCAAGAATGAGAGATTTAATTTCCAGAGCCATTCGAGACGAAACGAAATTTGTAGTTAGATTTATTTTATTTTTTTTTTACACCTCAGGAGGCCTTTTAAGAGAACTGAGGAGTGTGAAAGGAAGGGAGATTTGTCCTCTCTCAGCCCCTCAGAGTCTGGATGTCTTGGTCTGGGGGTGCTGGGCCCTGTGTCCTCCTTCCACTTGGGGCATCTGATGTCAGGCAGCAACTTCTGTTTTGCTACTGAGTGCATTGAGATGGGGATGGAAGGGAATCTTTTTCCATAAAACACCCAGTAGAAAACAGATGGGAACATCTCTCTCCTTCAGCATCCTCACTTGGCTGCCTGCAGAGTTTTCAGGAGCAGAAGATTTCGCAGCAAGAGGAGCTGACAGTGTTTGCTGTACATATTTGCACCCCTTTCATGGAGAAGTTTGGTGAACTCAAAGCTTTCCAGAAGTTTTTTTTTCCCTTTTGCCACTTTTGCAGGCTCGGAATTCACTTTCCAAGGGTGTGACAGCACCCTGGACTTCTCTTCCTTTGGTGGTGTTACCTTCCTGTATTCTGACATTGAAACGTGTGCAACCACTCTGTGTGTTCCTGACGTGACACCTGGGACAGGTGGGTGGAACAGCTGATTTTTTGGGGGGCAATGGGGGGCATTGTTCATCCAGAACACCTGCCCAGTGGGAATGGGAGAAAAGTTTATTCCTTCTTCAGGTGGAGAAGCTCATGGAGTGACCTGTCTTCCTGTTGGGTTCTGTCAGAGGCATAAATGCTTCACATTTTAGACATCAGCAGATGCAGGATGAAGTTCCTGTGCCAGCAGCTCTTAAAATGTGCAATATTGACCTTTTTTTTTTGTTTTTAATTATTATTATTTTTTTAATGCAGAAGCAAAGCTGCAGATGATAATTGAGAGCAGGCATCTGGAATTTTCTGGTTTGCATGGTGGCTTTTGAGTCTGCTCTAGAAAAAATATATATAGCTATGTATAAATAGCAGCACTTTTTTTTAATGGTTGTTTTAGGTTGGCCAATTTGACGCCCACCAAGTGTGTGGACTTTGAGAGCAACATTGCAGACTAGGATTAGAATTTAAAAAGTACTTAATGAGCACTAAAAAACCCTTGCAATTTAATTGCTTCCCTTTCCTTGTCCCCTATGGAGAAAAGCCAAGTTTATTTGTTTAAAAAGTTGTGTGTGTGCACACGTGCACTTAATTCTCTGTGAACTTTTATCACTTTGAGCATAGGGTATGCAAGAGAACCCAACCTGGGGTCCTGCTCTTCTCCAAGAGAACCCAGCCTGGGGTCCTGCTCTTCTCCAGGAGAACCCAGCCTGGGTTCCTGCTCTTCTCCAAGAAGCTTCCTGAGATTGCACTGCCATAGCTGGGGGACAGCCACGTTTCCCTCTGGGAATCCCTTGTGCAGAGGAAGCTCATGTGGAAATGCAGCCTGGATGGGATGGTTTTTATCTGGGAATATCCACTGAGGTGGTGGTTGCTTTTCCTTTCCAAGGGAAATCAAAATCCACTGAAGGGTTACAATCTTAGGAGGCAGTTGGGAAAGCACATGGGAAGGGCAGGGAAGGGGGGGAGAGGAGCAACTTGCTGCCTTTTCTCCATTCCAGCTTTCAGGTCACTTAAAGGGAATATTATCTTGTATATATGCTGCCTGATTAAACACACATTTACTGACAGGTGTGGAACTGCCAGCTTTTTTTTTTTGGATCACATTCCTGAGGGAGCACAGGGTCCTGTGACTCCTTGGGGCTCAGTGATGTGACTGCTGGTTCTCTGCTAGGTCACTTCAGGAGCACTTTGCAGCTCCTTGCAACTTGTTTTTTAATTTAGTGTAGGGCAGGTGGGGGTTAACAGAGGTTCTCTTTTCCTGGCCACGGTGGCAGTTTGCACTGTGGTGGCTTAAAAAAGTGACAATGCAGCATTACAGAAACCTTTCCTTAGCTGACAGTTGATGCTGCTGGAGTAGCCATGGGATTGTGGAATGCTTGGGAATATTTGCATTGGTTAATTGGTAGCTGGTGGTAGAATTGGACTGGATGAGCATCTTGTCTTGCTTCTGGAAATCTCTTTTTTGTGTCACTGCAGAGTTGGGAGTCTCACCCTGCTGGTGCTTTGTGTGCCACACCTGAGATCCTGGATTCTGGGATGCCACTGGTGACACAGACAGTCCATGGAAGCAGGAATGTGTTCATGATCCCCTCCAGTCACAGAACCATTCCTGTTCTGTCTCACCTGTGAAGGGAATCCTGGGGAGGAGGGGGATGGAGGAGCATTGGGGGTTTTTTTAAACAGCAGCTCAAGTCCAGAGCCTTGTTTCAGAACCTGAGCTGTTCAGCAGTGGTGGCTGAATGCAATTCCTATGCACTGCCTTTGGCACATTGGAACTGTTTTGCAATAGGTCAGCAGGTGATAAAATTCCTTGAGTTGGAGAATTCAGTGTTTTAACTTGGAGCATCCTCAGACTTCAGCATCCATGCAGTCTTTGGGGGATGTGAGAACAGAGAGGCTTTGCCTGTTCAGTGGTTCATTTGGGATAATTTCTCCCTCTGATACCTTTTCAGACCTCAGATTTCTCCCCAATAGATCCTTCTTGTGTTTATAGCGTTCCTCCTAAGGACAGTGAAGGCTGCTTAGGTGCAAATCTCCCTTTTCCCAGCTCCCCACAACGCTGAGCTGCAACAAGGTCAGGTTCTCTCGGGTCTTCAGAGCTCTGCAGGCTGAGGTGGGAGGACAGAGCTGTCCTAGAGCAGTGATGGCTTTCTCAGGTGAGAGTTTTGATCCACTTCTGTAGCGTTTTTCCCAGTGCTGAGCTCAGAACCTGCAGTTCTGACACACTCTTGTCTCCCACGATTTATTCATTTAGCTTTTAGTTACCTTCTGCTCCTGTTTTATAGCAGTTTTTGTATGTACTCCTGTTTTATGATTTAACCTCTTCCATTTTTAAGGCATATTTGTTTACAATACATCTCAGTGTTGTATCAAGAGGCTCTCTTGGTATTGTCAGCTCTGAAAATCAACTACAGCAGTAGTCACAGGACGTTGTCAAAGGGTGTGTTTTAAAACTTGTTTTGAGTTTTTGGGTGTCCACAACAGTTTTGTTTCATTTCTTAAGTTTCTTAAGAAATAGAATGTGTATCTGTAAGAGTAGAAATAGGGGGGAAATAAAAGAGACCTTCTGGCCTCTGAGGTCGTGGGGATGGATGGTTTATTTTGTCTTAAAAAAATCACAGAGTGTGGTGTTGCAAAGAGCCCCCCCAGGATGTCACACGGGGCAGATCAGTCCAAAATCCACGAGGATTGCAATCCTGGTGCTTAGAAGCTGTTCAGGATGTTTGGTGAGGTGTAGGATGTCTTGCCTAAACAGGGGTTTTTGTGGTTTGATTGGAATTCAGTGAAGCTGGTGGGTCTGGACAGCAGGTCTGCTCCGTGGGGAAGCCTTTGGCCGTCCATGGATGGTGGGATGTGGGACATGCTGGAGCTGCTCTGCTGGGATCAGGGGCTGCCAGGTGAAGGTCAAAGGATAAAATGCAGTGACAAGCCCTGTGCAGTTCTCCAGGGGGTTCCTGCAGGAGGCTCTGTCTTGGATCAGCCCCTGGGCACACGGAATTCCACCTGGAGCGAGTAGCACCGACTGTGGAGGGAAGAGCTGGTCCTGGCCAGAGAAGAACTCTTGGAAATGGAACCAGATCTTTCTCCACAGCCCAATTTTAGCCATAAGGGTACAACAGAGGAGCTGCAAAGCCACAGGGGTGGTACATCCCTGCAAATCTGTTCAGCAGCAGCAGCTCCTTTGGAAGTTCCCTGATGGGCCTGGTGCCATCTGGAGCAGAAAAGTGAAGCTTTGGGTTTAGTGTCTCCTGGATCTTGGCCTGAGGTGTGTTATTCCTGCCTTTTTACCAAGAACAAACAGAAAGAAGGGGGATCTGTTCACTGCAGAAGGGGGATTGGTTTTGGGCTGAGCCAGAACCAGGCTCTGCCGGGTAGGAAAGCTGGGCAGGGCCCGTGTTCCTTCTTGGATGTGTGTGTTAAAGGAATTCCCTTTTGGAATAGCGAGATACCTGCTTCAGAAACATTATTTTGGGGGAGAAAAAAAACCACCCTAAAACTGACTAGAATTGCTTTTTTGTTTACCCCTCCCAAAAAACATAGCAGAAGGTTTTGCCTGTGGAGCTGTTCCAGCTGCCTGACGAGAAGCACACCCTGAGAGCTGAAAACTTGGAGGTTTTTTTAGATTCCTTGTGCCTGGAATAGCCCTGCATGGAGCACACGTGTGTCATGCCTGACAGGATGTGTCCAGGATGGAGTCTTGGCTTCCAAATTTGTATAAATACCCCTCAAAGCAGCCACTGCACTGTGCAGTCGCCACTTTTAAATATGTTTTGCACACCCTGGTGAGGTTTTTTGGGGGCTTTTCCTTTTCTTTTAGGACTCAAGTCAATCATGCCACAGCGTGGACTCGTTGTGTTGCCAAAGGGTATTTTTAAAAGCAGCTTTGACATTGTTGGATGCCACATCTCCTAAAAAAAAAAAAAGAAAAAAAAAACAACAACGTGTCTTAAATTTGTCTTTGAATAGTTTTGTGTTCACGGAACAAAAGTTTGGACTCCTTTACTCGAAACACTTCTCTCCTGAGACCAGGCATTGCAGAAGGTTTTCATCTCAAAGTGGTTGTGGCAGGGGGTGGAACAGGGTAATGCTGAACCTTCTGGAGAACAGGGACCTTCATGGAGACACTGAGTGACCCGGGAGGGGAGGCTGCAGGTGATTTTGGAGCCCATTTCAGCCCTTGAGCAGTACATGCAGCAGTGCTGAACCAATAACTGGAAGCTGTTGTTTTTTCTGGGGTTTTTTATTTTAACTTTTTATTTTTTTTTTGTTTTTCAGTTGGGGGTTATTTTTTCATGGGTTTTTGTTTTTATTTTTTGAACACAGGAAGGCTTTGAGGGTGGCCTCTGCATGGTTCCTAAGTGTGTGCTGTGTGCTGGGGTGGGGTGGGGTTACAATACCTGGGTTTGCTCGAAGCTCCTTGAGATGTGTTGTGGTTTGTTCTTTTCTTTCCTTTCTTTTTTTTTTGTTGTTGTTTTCTTTTTTTTATTTTTATTTTTGGCTGGCATGTCTTAAATCTTCAGGCTTTGAAACTGCTTTCTAGAGTTGTGTTGACTTTTTTGTTCTGCTGTTGTTCAGTTGCACAGAGTTTTCTATATATGATGTGCTAGCTTTGACGTTGATTCTCTGTGAACAGGGTTGAGATTATTCCTTGTAGTTTAAAAAGAAACCAAGTTGTATCCTAAAAAAAAAAAACCTCCCTTTTTCAGATCTTGTTTGTATCCTGTTGCAGTGTTACCAGATGGCCTTATGTACGTCACAGTGGTTTGTGATAAGTACAGTAGCACATTTAATGCTTATTTCCCCTCTGTTTTTGTAGCTGAGAAGTGTATTTGTAATAACAGAGCCAAATAAATGGGAAAATTCTAGGTAAGGGTGGTGGTTGTCTCCCCTAATGGGCAGAGGGGCAGCTGGAATTAATCTGGGACTAAACCCTTAGCCTGCCTTGGGAATTCTGAGGCTCTTGGCAGATGTGGATCGTGTGCCAGGGGCTTGGAAATCACAGCAGCTCCATTGGCTCCACCACAACTGCTCCCACTTCCACGGGCTGAGAACCTGCTCTGGGGGCAGCTTTTGGGCTGGGAGAGTCAGGGGAGAGGGAAGTTTGAGTTAATTTTTAGCAAGTGAAGCACCCAAACCTGGTGGGAAGGTGGGCCAGTTTTGTCCTGTTTATTTCTGCAGTGCAGTTCTGTTCTGGGAAGTGACTTCCTGATGCCTTCAGTGGTTTCTGTTCCTTGGCTGAACTTTTTTTAGGCTGATCTGGGTTTTCTTTGCTGCTGAGTTTTGGGCTCCAGCAGCTCTGCCAGCTCTGCTGGGAGCAGCCTCGGAGCAGATTTCCCTGTCAGGTGACTCCTAACTCTGCCATGGATCCACTTTTACCTCCCTGTGATTTTAACAGGGGTAAAAAATGACATTGGAAGCAGCAGAGAGAACATTTTCCAGTTGCTCTTTCCCTGAACAGAATTGCATTTATTTTTTTTTTTCTATAAATATATATATAGTACCAAGTCTGGAGACAAAGCAAGTTATGTTGTAGTGAGTGTCTCAACTTCCTACACTGGAGACTTTTCTAGACATGATCTTTTAGAGACAACTGTAACCTCACCCCTCTGTGCTCCCTGTTACAGTTGGGTGAACCTGCCTGGGACAGAAAAGCTTCTCAGTCTAACTTTCTTTTTCTAAATAATACCTTATAATAAGAGTATCTTAATGCCATTGTGTTAAAAAAAAAAAAAATGCTGGTATGTAATGCAAGTACATAAATAGCCAAAGTTTTCAGTAATTGTTCAGTGTTAACTAAATTTTGCTTTTATTTAACCTTCCAAGATAACATTTAGGAAGACCTTCAGCATGTTGACGTCACAAAAGTCTGATCAGCTTGATTAGAGCAGAATGTGGAGTTATTGGAACACATTTCAGGTTTGAATACAATTTGGAGGCAAAGTTTTTTAAGATGCAAAACTTCCTTTGCACTGTAATGACACTTCAAATGCTGCTTTTACAGTGGCTCATTGGTAATTGTTATTCAAACATCATGAAGGTCTTTCCTGAGAAATCAGGTGACTTTTCTATTGCTTCGATTTTTGTGCAAAAAAGTTAAAAAGAAAAAAAATCAATGTATTGCAATCTTTTTTAAAAACGGGGTGGGAATAGTTAAAGAAAACTATTTTATGTAAGAACTGACAGAGGGATTTGCTTTGTATAATGCAAGCTGGCTTTAAAAAAAAGCATTGTAGCAAAATTATTCAAGTCAATCATATGTTAATAGTTATGTGCAACCAGACATGCAAAACAATTGTATTTTTTTAAATAAATATTTTTAACAAAGTTTCTGCTCTTTTTGACTGGTTTGTTGGTTTTTTTTCAGTAGAGGAAATAGAAAGTTACAGCTGCAGGGCAGCTTGGGCTGTGAGAAGGAGGGAGGTAAAAAGTCCTTTTACAGCATCACAGGCTGGAGACAGAGATGGAGTTGGGAAGTTTGGTTTTTATTCCCCAAACCAGGTATTATTCTGGTGAAAATTTCCTTTAATTAGCATTTTTTTTCTTTAAGCAGACCCTCTGTCTAGACCTGAGAGTGGAGTTGCCAAACTGGTGACAGGAGCACTGACAGAGCAGATTTAGCCCCCTGTTCTCCAAACCTGCAGGGACACACCGAGATTATTGAAGAGCTGCCAGTGCTGGTGTGGCACCCACGTCAGCTGAGGAGATTTCCTTCCAAAGAAACCCCCTCCTTGCATTGTTTCTGCTCCTCTCCTCTGGGCAGGGCTGCAGAGATGCTCTCCTGGTGGGAGGGGCTCAGGAAGGACACTTTGGGGTGGGGTTTTCTTTGCTGCAAAAGGGGTTTGCACACACAGGCTTTTTTCCAGGAGAGTAACAGTGGCATCCTGTGGAGCTGGGGAAGAACTGCAGCACATCCTGCCCGGGGTGGAATCTGGTCTAGGACTGGAGTAGAATCATGGAATGGTTTGGGGTGGAAGGGACCTTAAACATCATCCAGTGCCACCCCCTGCCACAGGCAGGGACACCTTGTTTGCTCCAAGCCCCGTCCAGCCTGGCCTTGGACACTCCCAGGGATGGAGCAGCCACAACTTCTTTGGGTTATTTCTGTTTTTCCAAGCATTTTTTTCCCTAAAATATCTTCACAAGCCCCCACGGATGGTCCTGTGGAAACAGCCTCGAGAGCTGGTGAGTTAAAGTGACTTTGTACCTGAAGGTGAGTGTTTGAAGCAAATGCAGGAACAGGTAAATGCAGTTACTCTGGGTTTAGCTCATCCCTCTGCCTCACATCCCAGAATTAGAACCTATTCTAGGATTCTCTAATGAAACTAAACCCAAATTCAAGGCCAGGTTTGGAGCAGCCTGGGCTAGTGGAAGGTGTCCCTGCCTGTGGCAGGGGGGTGAAACGAGAGGTTCTTTTAAGCTCCCTTCCAACCAGACCCATTCTGGGCTTCTAGAAATGCTAAAAAGAGTTTAAATTAAAACAGCTGGTAAATTCAGGCTGAGTTTAAAAACTGGTTAAATGAAGGAGCTGATGGTCTTGGCCAGAAAGAGCTGGAGGTACCCGAGTCCAGGCACGGGAGAATTTAGCAATCAATCACCTTTAATTAAACACTGCTTTATATACACACATACATATGTACATCCACATACAGCAGTTAAAGCAAGAAGAACATGTCCAATCACTCACTGAAGGAGGAGCTGTTTGGAGCTTTTACATTCCTCTAAAGCCAGTCCTTCCCCCGGAGCTGGAGCAGGCCATGCGTGGGCTATGAGAGTACCTTACACAAGGCACCTGGATGAGAATATTGCACAGGAAAAGCAGCTGGAGACTGGCTCCCAAATACCTCTGGTGAAAGCTTCAGTTGGAAGCTGGAAATAAAACCACCCTAAAGGACACTGCCACTGCAGCAGCTGAAGTTAAGTGACTGACTTAAAGCAAAACAAACCCATCACAACTCATTCTTTAAAAAAAATAACAAACAGAGAAAAAAAAACCAACAGAACAAAAAAAAGAAAAGCAAATGATTGTAATAATCAAGAGGCCTGAGCATGCTGAGTAAGACACTGTCTTAGTGAAGGTGTTTGGAAGTGTGGAATATACAGGAATCAAGTGTGCAAATACAGACAGTGTGGAACTGTTCCCCTTTGGGAGGGTAAATGGAGGTGACATCGACTCGAGTCCACGTTGCACAAAAATGAATTAAAATCCAGTATTGTGCTGTAAATTCAAGGGGCTCCTGTCCATTACAGGCCAGAAAAATAATCTGTTCAATTCAATGACTAAGCCAGGAGACATTCAGTCACAGGTGGAGCAGAGAGAACCTCTTCCTTCCCACCCTCCGTCCTGAACAGGTAAGGAAGTTCATTTACAGGAGGAACTGTTGGGAAATCCTCTCTGCTCACACCTTTCAGGTGGCACTTAAAGTCCTTCTGGTCCCAGTGCCACTGGCAGCTCGTGCCACGGTGTTTTTGGGATGTTTCCTTGATTCTCACTTACCCAGTCGAATGTGCTTTTGATCGCAGAGAACTTGCATGATTCAGTCACTAAATGTTGAAATCATCCTCGAGAGCAATGCTTTAATTGGGGGGGGGATGGTTTATTGCTTGTCTAGAGCTTGGCCACTTCCTCAGCGCTGGTACTGCCCCGTGTCATCTGGCACTGCTGCTTTGTCGGGAGAGGCATCGTCCAGCTCTGCAGAAGGGACATGAAATACCTGAATGTGCAGTTCTACTGAGCTCAAAGGGGGTGGGCATGAGCTCTGCCAGACAGGAATGGTGCTTTTCCATCGCCCACCACAGGAGCTTAGTGCACTGGTCATGGAAGGAAGTCACTGAGGTTGGAAAATCCCTCCAAGATCGAGTCCAACCTGTGCCCAGTTCCCACCTTGTCCCCCAACCCAGAGCACTGAGGGCCACATCCTTGGACACCTCCAGGGGT